AAATTTGGCTAAATAAGAAGTGCAAAGAAATGGAAGAATAAAGAGAAAACACACAAGACATGTACAAAAGAATACAAAATCAATCAGGTGTTATAAAACATACAGCAAGTAGTAGCTTGAAAAACAAAAGGTGGTGAAATATTAATGGACAAAAACAAGGTAATTGAAAGATTGACAGAGAATATAAACGAGCAATACGAAGCGAAGATAACAGCAGACCAGACAAAGAGAGTCAGGAGAATTAGTAAGGACCGCCAATACAGAAAGCAGAAGTGGAAGATGCTATTAACCACACGAAGCACTGCAATTCTCCAGGGCCAGATAACATCACGAGTGAAGAATTAAAAACTGCTGGTGAATTAAGTTTAGAAGTTTTGACAAAGTTATTCAATGATATTTATAACAGCGGGCACGTACCTGATGGTGCTTGGAGTTCACTTTTCATTTACAAAGAAAACAAAAACCTAGTGCAGTAAATTTTGGGGAGTATCGATTTTATAGTTTACTACGCTATGCAACTAAAATATTACTAAGAATTAGGAGAATAAGGTGCACAATTAAGCCAGACACTGGAAAAGAGCAGTGGGGTTTTGTTTAAGGCAAATGCACAAAGAACGCCATATTTACCTTGAGAACATTTTCAGAAATATTAACTGAAACGAACAGACATCTGCATTTGTGTTTTATTGATTACACTGAAACATTTGATAAAGTGAAACATAAAGAAATTATTAGAATTTTTGAAACCTTAAACTTTGGCGGTGAAGATCTGATTGGCAACAAGAAGCCATAATGATTGACAACCAATTTGGGACTTTTTAAAACATTAAACAAGGCGTTAAACAGGAATGTGTAGTATCACCTGATTTATTCAATTTGTGTGTAAAATTGTAATTAGATCCATACATGGTATACCAGGTATGTCGGTTGGTGGGTATTTGTTAAAAACCTGCGATATGCTGACGATATAGTTTTGATAGCTGAAAATGAAACACTACTGCAAGAAATGATGAATATAATTGTGAAGGAAATTGAAGACACGGGTCTTAGTTTTAGTTTGAACAGTAGAAAAACAGAAGTAATGGTACTTGCACATAAAAAATTGAGCCTCTAAATTGCAGCATCAAAGTAAATAGGAGAAACCATAAGCAAGTTGATATGTTTAAGTACTTGGGTACCCTGATAACAGCAGATGGAAAATATATTAGGAAAGGTAAATATCAAAAAGCTCAAGCAAAGGTAGCATTTTACAAAAAGGAAGAATATTATATGTAATCTTTCTTCGTCAGTTGAGAAGAAATAGAAAATTCTTAAATTCTTTAAAAATCATATCTTGATGTATGGAAATGAATCATGGACAGTTGGTAGATTAATGAAAAATTATTTGGAAGCTGCGGAGATGTGGTTTTATAGACGGTTGATGAAAACACCCTGGACAAAAGAAAAAGAGTAATGAAGACGTCTTGAAAGAAACTGACTCACGAAGAGAACTGTTGCCCACATCAGAAAGAGACAATCTGCCTTCTTTAGTTACATGATGAGAAGGATCAAAAATGGAAGTAATCGTTACAGTAGGAAAGTTAAGGGAAAAGGGGGTGGGGAGACAGAGGGAGACCGAGAACAGAGATGCTGGACAGTTTGACATCATCGCATGAAGTATCGTGTCAGACTTGACTGAAAGTACACGAGGCAGAAGGTTGTGGATACGCATGACTGCCTGCGCAACGCGGCATAAACTTTAAGAAGAAGAATAATATAATCATGCAGCTGCAGAAGAATGAGGTAATGCCAAGAAACTTAGCATTCAGTTTAAAACTAATGAAAACCGATTTTTATCTCCCTATTTTCGTTCTGAAACTGAAAATCGATTTTTGTCCAGCATTATTTGGTCGATCTTGTACTATTAGCGCCCCCCCCCCAACCCCATCACCCCCCCCCCCCCCAATTATCTCCCCAATTTATTTATTTGTTTATAATATTCTCTAACAGGCAGGGAAATTTCATGATCAATGGCATAATTGATCTCTGTCTTTCTTCAGTAACACTAACTGGATCTAACGCCTCAAGTAACTGCAGCGTTCCAAAATGTAAAAGCGCACTTGACCAGTCACCTCAAATAGTGACTGACTGACTAAGTTTTACTCCACCTGGACCACATCATGGACGATTAACACCTGATGACACAAAGTACTAACATTCAGACGAGAATACCACAGGCGCCAGACCCGGAAATCTCGTTCAACCATAAGGTTATATTAGGGCCCCGACGACGGTTATCAAGTAACCTGAAATTCAGCCGGGGTGGGGCTTTACAATTAAAAAGCTGTGCCAAGTATTGGGAAAAGTGTTTTTCTATTTTTTATTAAAGTACACTTGCATTAACAATTGCATCAAGGTTATTTTTAGTACACTCCAAATCACTTTAAAAAAAATGTTCGACACAGTTTCAAGTTTAAAATACTGACACAAAATTTATGAAAACGTACCAAAATATCGGGCGCAGTATCAGAAGTATAGTTTTGCTCGGCATGGTTCAGATAATACTCAATTTGTGTGAATGTGCCAACTTCGGCATAAGGCAGCGCCATATCTGTGGCAAATTGAACCAGCCGCCGTTTTGTGACTGTTTATGTTGGCACTTCTGACTGCTGCCTTGTGCATTTAATGGGCGTGTATGCTGTTGGATTTGTAAATACTACTGTCTGTATTAGTTGTTTTCCCTGCAAGTCAAAATGATGAAATTAGTGTGGATTTTTGTTTCTTTGGAATAGGAACAGAGCAAGCAACCCATTTGATATGAAAGTTGAAATTTAGATTATCTGGCTACTTACAATCTTCTTGTTGTATTCTGCCTTTGTAACCTCTTATCGGGGCATAGGCTGTCAACCAACTTACACCAAGTCGTTCTATCTTTCCCTAAAGCTTGCATCTCTTTCTATTTCCTGCCAGCCTTTTTAACTTGGCTCTCTAGCTTCCTTCTCCATGTGTGTGTGTGTGTGTGTGTGTGTGTGTGTGTGTGTTTTAAATTATTTATTTCTGTCCCTGTGAGTTCCAGTGCAGCTACTTACTTACCTTAAACATATATTTATCTGTCAATATACGTGAAATTGTTTTTTTTCATTCTGTATACGAAGCGTGGGTGGAGTCGCAAACAACCATCCATTATTTGACAATGAGATCGCTAATATCGTTTTGGATGATGTTGATTGTAATGGCACGGAGACAGATTTCAGTCAGTGCTCAGTCACAATGGATCTTGTACAGCAAAACTGCGATGGCAAGACTTACGCGGCGGCCATCTGTACTAAGAATACTACGTCAGTTTCTAGCGTGCAAAATAGAAACAGCTGTAAGTACATTTTCTTCTTCTTCTTCTTCTTCTTTTTTTTCTTCTTCTTCTTCTTTTTTTTTCTTCTTCTTCTTCTTCTTCTTCTTCTTCTTCTTCTTCTTCTTCTTCTTCTTCTTCTTCTTCTTCTTCTTCTTCTTCTTCTTCTTCTTCTTCTTCTTCTTTTTCTTCTTGTCCTCTTCCTCTTCCTACATCGTCTTCTCCTTCTGCATCGTCTTCTTCTTCTTCTTCTTCTTCTTCTTCTTCTTCTACTACTACTACTACTACTACTACTACTACTACTACTACTACTACTACTACTACTACTACTACTACTACAACTACAAGCCTTGCGTTAGTTTCGACAGTGGTATCATGGGGCCGACCGTCCAGGAAGCAATGACTGACTGACTGACTTTCTACCCCACTAGGACATCACACAAGCGATAAAAACCCGATGACACAAAGTGCCACCATGTTGATGAGGATCACCGTGGTGTGGTCCCAGAAACCGCGCTCAGACAATTGGCCATATTGATGGCCTGCCTATATTGCGGCACCTGGCAAAAGCCAGAGTGGGGCTTCAAATAACAAAAAATTTAGTCCTAAAAAAAGTAAGGGTATTACTGTCTAGGGAGCAATGACAAATTACTGGACGTAAATTTGCCTAAAGAAACCACACAACAGCCAGGAGTTGCTGGGGTTGGTTCTGCGACGTCCTGTATAGAATACGCAACTAATCTTAGCAATTAAGTCGGTCCGCGACATAACACTCATATTGTTTCTAGTCCGCGGGTGTAACCAGATTGAAAAACACTGCTTTTAGGGCAGCAGGCTCGTTTTCAGAATTCGACTTGCGATTCACACGTACAGTTGTCTTTACAGACTGATGTAGGTTTCATCGATGGGTCTTCGAAGCTCGTGTTTTGTGAGTCATAGGTGATTATCCCATCTCTGGACATAAAACAGGTTCTTCTTGAATAGTGCTGTGCGGATTGAAGTGTATCTTCTCCGCTAAAATAGTATCATCATCAGCATCATCACTTTTTCCATCATTTCATTCGTTTGGGATTATCCCTCCGGGCTGATTCCCAGAGGTTTAACATACCATGCTGTGATTTTTACAATCTCAGTCTGAAGGTAGAAACCAGATAACCTGTTCAACCTCTGTGGAAGTTATAACTGGCCAGCTGTAGCGGCTATACCAGCTAGAAGTAATCTGCAGTCCTGCAGAGGAGAGAATGTGTATAACTGTCTTTTTCTTTTTATTCTTTTTGTTTCTACTACTCGAATGCCGCGCGGCGTCAGGGCAGGACGACATCTATGCAAAGGGCTCTTCTGATCGCTTCATTTAAAGCACGTGTTAGTATCTCTGATATTTCTGCTGTGCATGTTTTGCGTGGTCGACCTCTGGATCTGTTACCGCTGTTTTTGAATAACATTGCTCTCTGTGGTGCCCTGTCTGATGCCGGTCTCCTTACATGGCCGAACAGTTTGATTTGTTGTCCTCATATAAAGTTCAGAATTGGTTGTGTGCCGACTCTTCTGCTGATATCGTCCTTTTCAAGTCAATCTTTCCTCGCTACATCTGGCAGAGTACGTAAACATTTCATTTTTGTCGTGACTATTTTCCTTCTGTTTTCTGAAGACAAGTGTCCAGGTTTGGCATTGAAAGCATATCACTATCAATATTTGCTCTTTCAGTTAAAGGAACGTGCGGAAATCGTCCTTTTGATGTCACACCGATTGTTCAAACTCGTGCGGAAGAACCAAGTGAAGTCAATGAAGATGATGACAATGATGATGATGATTCAAAACCGAGACCATCATTGCACCAAGGAAGAATTATTGGGGGCCACTTCGTCCAGCATGGCTCATACCCATGGCAGGTGCGATTTCACATATTGCAGCGTCCTTACACTGAAACAGGTGACACGTATGGATCTCACCACTGCGGAGGCGCAATCCTTAACCCATACTGGATACTTAGCGCAGCCCACTGTTTTCAGTAAGTACGGTATGTTTATGTTTATTCGACGGGTCCACGCCATTGCTTAACCCATGAGTGCTCCGTTCTTCCTCTAGCTCAAGATGAGTCTGAAAAAGCTCAGCGCAGTGCACGAACTGCGATGCACCGACGAGGATCCTGACATATTGGGAGTAGATTTTAAACTCTAAATTTTGCCCAGGTGGCCTCGTTATGCTTTTTTTTTTTTTTTTGGTTTCCAACTGCCAGAGAATTTTTTTTTTTTTTTACGTGCGCAAGAATACCGCACGCCTAGCTCAGCAGCTGGGTGACGAAACTAAATTCGAGAAGATTGTGTTATGATTAAAGGACGTTAACTGTTTTATTCATCCTATTAGAATGCAATTTTAAAAAAAAATTGGAAATATTGTTTCCAGATTTTTTTTTCCTTAATCCCCTGCCTCTCTATTTGTTTTCACCAGCTGTTCATTGTCAGCTGATAGGGAATCCAGAGCATACTTTATTTTCTCAAAACAACTTACAGAGCATGCGCAGCGTCAAAGTGCTGACTATCGTGAGTCAGACAGACGATTGACAAAGCAATCTTTTCATAAAGATGATGTCAATGCTTTCCGCCAATGAGTAAAACCAACAAAAAATTAATACAAAGTCAAAGATTTGTACAAACTGTAGGCAAATCTGCTGCTTTTGCTTTCACTAAGTTCAGAATGTGTCCATCATAGGGTAAATAGATGAATCCTCGCTTGCAATCTAGTATACCGTCCCGGCATATCTGAGGCATTGTGGTAATACTAGCCAAGAGAATTCGATAGTGGAAATTTGTTTTCATTAAGAAAATCAACTGTTGGATTTTTTTTGCTTCGTGAGACCTGTCTCAGCCCAGAAGGGTGAAACTAATCGATCGATCTCGATTTTGCTACACTAGTTTGTGGGTCTCTGGTCGAGTGGTGAAGAGTACTGAGCTCGCACTGCGGGAAACCCACGTTCGAATTCTCAGTTAGGTTGTGGAAGTGTGTTTCCTGACAGAAGAGGTAGGGGTAAGGGTGCAGGGGTGGGGGGGGGGAATAAAATCCTGACGTGTAATGCTCGTGTTGACTGCACTAGCCACATACCCCTTTACCATTCCCCCCCCCCCATCTCTCCCGGCTCAGGACCCACCCCTGCTCTACACAATCACTATCATCAATTAGCAGGTCATTTACAGATTGTCACTCTCTTCACGGCACGCCTAAATCGTTCTCTTTTTCTAGCCATTTCTCCAGGCTTACATGGTTTCATAATCAATCTTTCTTCACTGGCTTGCCTCAACCGCAAAGGTCTGCCTCCGCCTCGATTTCCGGACACTGTACTCTCGATCACAGGTCCCTCCAAGCCACATTGATGTTTAATATCGCCAAAATATCTTGGCTTTCAGGAAAGGATGCTGTTCATAAGCCAGTTTACCTCGATAGATCATGTCGAATGTCGGTGTTTTGTGTTCTTCTTTGTCCATGGTATTCTAAGAATTATTCTGTCGCATTTCAGTTCAGTGCATCTTCATGTTGTCATTAAGTACAGCAATTTCTTTCCTAAGCTCTAAAGTGTTGTTGCACTATTTAGGCTGGAGCGTCAGTGTCTTAGGCGTTGCGAGTCCGATTCGTAATTTCAGCGTACCGCGATCGAAACCCACTGCTGACTGCGTGGATTTTTATCATGGTATGGGATGTCACAGGTCGACCCAGCTTAAAATGGGTACTAGGATGTATGACCTGGGAAAGTAAAGACGGCCGGCGTAATGCTGACCACATTACCCACCTATTGTCGATTGGTCTGTAAAATATGTGTGCTCTTCCCATATGAACGATGCGCCTTAAGGCGGGAAAGGGGATCTAACACAAACACTACTATTTAGGGTGGGAGTGGTACCTCACACTAGTAAAAATGACAAGCCATACGTCCCGCGCACCAAAGGTCGTGGGTTAATTTCACGGATTCCGTCGCTAGGTTCAAATTTTTGCAGTGATTCCTAGGTAACGTAGTTGAAGTTACAGTGTTTGTGGAGAGGTACCAAGCAGTATCAAACTTAACCCAGTGCAGTGACGTTCATCGTTTCGATTTTAACCTTAGCTTGTACATCAAGCTGCTTTTATGATTAACTGCGTTCGCTACTATTGATTTGTTGTAGCTGTTGCTTCCATCAACAATGAACTGCATTTCTAGTGTCAAAGGCTGTGATGTCACTTCTGGATGCTGCCTTGTGCATGTAATGCGTGTGTGTGCTACTGGCTTTGCTGAGACTGTAGCCTATGTTACTGTTTTCAGTAGAGTCAGTGATGGATATTCTATGCGGTTTTCGTTACCACAGGAATGGGGCAGCCATGATGTGACCCGTCTGCTACGAAGTTGGAACTGCGACTACCCGATTACTCGATTGGGTAATGATTTAAATGAGTCAACTCTTTCCGACGCAAGAAACTCGCTATACGTTTACTGAGTAATCCAGGAATAGTACACTTTTCGTTACTTTTTTTGTTGTTGTTGCCAACGTCTATTACATTCTTTCTTCTTCTGTCCTCTATGCCCCAGCTGGGCATAGGCTCTCAACCAACTCACGTTGTCGTCAATCCTTCTCATTCGCATGTAGCTCACCCTTTTTTAACGTCACTCCCTAGTTCCCTTCTCCGTGGTGTTTTTTTTTCGGGGCAAGGGTGGGGGCGGGGGTGACTACTTTTTTATTTTTACATATTCCTGTGGGTTCCAGTGCAAAAACAGTATAGTTATATTGTTCTCAGGTTCTCTCATCGTGTGTCCTATACAACGCCAACGTCTTTTCCTCACCTCGTGGTATTATTACTGAATCACTAAATGCGCTCATTGTAACCTAAACTACCGAACATAACGTAGAAAAACCACATCAGCACACCCTCCCCCCTTTTCCCCCCAAAGTTGGGGTTGTTTCTGTAACTGCATGCAACGGATACGTAACTAACTTATTATGATACTGGTGTTGTTTATATTAAACAATATTTAATGTTTTCTATTACTTCTTTAGAGGTAAACCAGTGGACAGGATGGTGGCAGTTGTAGGTGATCACGATATGAAAGTAAAAGATATGGGGGAACAAACATTCGCTATTCAAAAAGTCATTAATCACGAACTGTATAATGGTATGTAGTTTGTTTAACTATTCATTTAAGCTCTTTCCAAGACAGTGGCGGCTCGAACATACGGCAGACGTTCTAGGCCTATATCGGGCATATGGTGCTAAACCCAGGGCTTTTTTTAGGCGGTACACAAAAGTCTGCAGTACGGACTCTTTTTCAGCGCTAATGTAATAGACACTGAGATCAGTTTATGTGTGAGCTGGTGAAATACCTTACGTAATAATTCTACGTGTGCACAGTGGTCAACTTAGTGTGCTCGACTACTTCCATTAACGACAAACTGCATGTTTGGTGGCGAATGTTGCCTTTGGCTCCTTTAGAAACAAAAATTTTACAGTTCGGAAGGCACTGAAAGTTGGTTGCAGTCTTTCGTGGAACGTAAGCTGAGCCTATAGGGTGGCTGGGGGTGGGGGGGGGGAAGGTTAGGACCAGAACTAGATCTTCCGGGGTAGTTGCAAACGGTTACATTCTGTAATACAGAGCACGCATCATCGCCGGTGAGAGAGTCGAGACAAAACATCCTGACAATCCTGTAACTTAGACAATCGCGTCTTAAAGGCTGGCATGCATGAATGAACGGGCAATCACGGTGTGCCTGGGCTCGGCAAAGTTAGTTGTTTATACATATGTATGGATCAGTTGCCCTCGATGGGTGGTGTAGTCAACATCACACCCCTTCCTCCTCCTCGCCTTTATTTGCTGATGCCGATTTAAGCTGGAGTTGACCTTTCAAAGTAAAAGTAAAGTAAAGATCCATTTTCAGGCATATGAGTCGAGCACCCATATTTTTTACAGACCATTCGGCACTGGGTGGGTAATATGGTCAGCATTACACCGGCCGTCTTTACTTTCCCAGGACAGCCATCCTGGCACCCATTTAAGGCTGGGTCGACCTGCGACGCCCCATGCCATGATAAAAATCCAAGCAGCTAGCAATGGGTTTCAAATCGCAGTACGTTGGAATTACGAATCGGACTCGCAACGCCTAAGCCACGGACGCCGCAGCCTAAATAGTGCAACAACACTCAGTTAATTTCACTGGTATCTCCTTCAGGATGCCGCCTGGATTTGACCTTTTAGCTCATGTTAATTATTAAACTGAGTGTCTTGATACGCATACGAACATAATATCTCCAGATAAGCAGAAATGCGCTTAGCCAGTGCTATCTTGATTTTTTTTTCTTAAGTATTATTAATAAGCCTATAATCATTTCTTTCTGTCCCACACAACGCACGCCACTATTCTTTTTTTTTTTAATATTAACTCTTTGAGTCCCATGGGGTTTAGCATCAGAGGCCCAAGGGATAGTCAAGAGAAACGTAAAATCTGTGCATCTTGCGTTCACTGGGCTTCTAGTTAGGAACCTATGAACGTATGATTCGTTCCTTGGGACTCAAAGAGTTAAACGGAAAAACTGGCTATTTCTGCACCAATCGGTTGTGAATTTATACGTGACAAGCTAGACATGGTACAGCTGAAAATGACTCGGGCATCTGGATGACACTTTACTTTCAAAGAGATGGCAAGATGGAAATATAATCAAACTGCTTCTAGCACAATCGGAATTGGAACTTTTCGTTGGCTGCTGAAGTTAAGAACGGGGTGATTATGGAATTTTCTGAGTGTTGTGATGAAGTTCTTAGCTCCACACCTCACCTACTGCAATAAAGTTGCCTATATCGACTTAAACCTTAATTTTGAAATATATGTTGCCCCCTTAAGATTATTCTTATTATAATACAGATAACACCAAGAGTTTTGACATTGCATTAGTCAAGATTAAACCAACACATAATGGTAATGGCATTGAGTTCAACAGTTATGTACAGCCGGTCTGTCTACCTAAACTCCATGAGTTTTTGAGAAGTGGCATGCAATGCACAATTGCCGGATGGGGCTATATGAATCGAAGTAAGAATGTTGTTACTGTATCTGGGCCGGTCAGTTAATTTCACTTATGTCTTCTTCTTTTCTTCTTCTTCTTCTTCTTCTTCTTCTTCTTCTTCTTCTTCTTCTTCTTCTTCTTCTTCTTCTTCTTCTTCTTCTTCTTCTTCTTCTTCTTCTTCTTCTTCTTCTTCTTCTTCTTCTTCTTCTTCTTCTTCTTCTTCTTCTTCTTCTTCTTCTTCTTCTTCTTCTTCTTCTTCTTCTTCTTCTTCTTCTTCTTCTTCTTCTTCTTCTTCTTCTTCTTCTCTTCTTCTTCTTCTTCTTCTTCTTCTTCTTCTTCTTCTTCTTCTTCTTCTTCTTCTTCTTCTTCTTCTTCTTCTTCTTCTTCTTCTTCTTCTTCTTCTTCTTCTTCTTCTTTTTCTTCTTCTTCTTCTTCTTTTTCTTCTTCTTATTATTATTATTATTAATTTTCGTCTTCTTCTTCTTTTTCTTCTTCTTCTTCTTCTTCTTCTTCTTCTTCTTCTTCTTCTTCTTCTTCTTCTTCTTCTTCTTCTTCTTCTTCTTCTTCTTCTTCTTCTTCTTCTTCTTCTTCTTCTTCTTCTTCTTCTTCTTCTTCTTCTTCTTCTTCTTCTTCTTCTTCTTCTTCTTCTTCTTCTTCTTCTTCTTCGTCTTCTTCTTCTTCTCCTTCTTCTTCTTCTTCTCCTTCTTCTTCTTCTTCTTCTTCTTCTTCTTCTTCTTCTTCTTCTTCTTCTTCTTCTTCTTCTTCTTCTTCTTCTTCTTCTTCTTCGTCTTCTTCTTCTTCTTCTTCTTCTTTTTCTACTTCTTCTTCTTCTGTTTGTTGTTGTTGTTCTTCTTGTTCTAGTTCTTCTTGTTCTTGTTCTTCTTGGTCTTCTTGTTCTTGTTCTTCTTGTTCATCTTATTTTTCTTATTCTTCTTTTTCTTCTTCTTCTTCTTCTTCTTCTTCTTCTTCTTCTTCTTCTTCTTCTTCTTCTTCTTCTTCTTCTTCTTCTTCTTCTTCTTCTTCTTCTTCTTCTTCTTCTTCTTCTTCTTCTTCTTCTTCTTCTTCTTCTTCTTCTTCTTCTTCTTCTTCTTCTTCTTCTTCTTCTTCTTCTTCTTCTTCTTCTTCTTCTTCTTCTTCTTCTTCTTCTTCTATTTCTTCTTCTTCTCCTACCTCTTCTTCTTCTTTTTTATTAGCATCCTCATCATCAGCTTATGTGATGTGTTGCACATGAGATACCCCAATGGGAACAATTAAATATATGCTTGGGCTTCAAATCTATAAATTCTATACTGCCAATGTGAAAAGGCAAAGTATGCGATTTACAAATGATGAAAGACATTCACTACATGGCAACCATAATAATTTCAAAGAATATCGCATGAAAATCACGGCTGTCACCAGCGCTTTGTTAGAAAGATACATAGAGTTGGATAATGATATTGCAGAATTAGAGGTACAGATGACAAGGCTGAACTAGGTGGCGCTGTAGCCTGCACTGATAGTTCTATTCCTACGAACAGCCTGGCTGTGCTTTCTCAGAGTAAAAGTAAAGGTCAGGGCAGAACAAAGTGGGGATGTTTTACTCCCCAATTTCAAACATGAGAGTGGAGGTGGGGGCAATCACTGCAGCAGGGCACATTTTTAAAACAAATTACTGGGAAAGGGGGGGGGGGGGGGTGTCTAAGTGTGGGATTCTTTTTTTATTTTGTAGAGGGTTCAAAACTGATATGTGTGACATTAATGGATACTTTACATTGCGTCAGTATTCCAGAGGCTCACGTGGATTTAGTTTTGGGATGCGTAAAAGTGCTAGGTAATGAAACAGCGGATGTTTTGGCTGCAAAGGTGACACATAATAGAAAAACTAATTTTGGGCAAGGCTGGCTATTTATGTATTTGATACGGCCACACTTTTAACATGCAACAAAGAGAAGCAGACACCCTGTGTTACTGTAGCACGTCATGAAGGATGTGGTAGGATGAGCCTTGAATGATGTTAAGATTTGCGACAATGTCATTCACATTCAATCCGAAGTTTTCTTGTACGAGACCTTACACGGCTTCAGTAACTTCGGGGTTACTATTCGGTGTGCCGGACCAAGTCTTAAATTGTCTCAGAAGCCAGGTCGTTTTGAATCTTCCTACTCCTCTCTTATAT